GTGGGGGTAATTTGTGGTTCTCCTATTATGCTGACCTACTGTACACACGCCTGACCCTGTACTCCATACATAACCTATTCCTGACCCCTATGCTCCATGTGTTACATACTCCTTGCAATACCTACTCTTGACTCCTGTACTCCGTGCATTACCTACTCACGACCTCCGTATTCAACGCGTTACCTACTCCTGACCCCTGCATTCCATGCATTACTTACTCCTGACATCGGTACTCCATGCTCTACCTATTCATGACCCCTGTACGCCATGCTTTATGTAAGCATGACCCCTGTTTTCCATGAGTTACCTACTGATGACCCTTGTACTCCATGCATTACTTGCTCCTGACCTCTTTATTCCATGAATTATGGACTCCTGCATGCTGCGTGTTACATATTTCTGATTCCTGCTCTCTGTGCCATGCACTCTTGACCCCTGTGTTCTGCGTTACACATTCCTGTGCCCTGCACTATGTGCATTACACACTCCTGACGTCTGTGCATTACACACTTCTGACCCCTGCATTTGCGGGGTATTGTGTGTTATACATTCTTGACCCATAGTAGAGTAGGCTTAGAGTTTATTTATATAATATATAATCTGCCCTCCTACCCTTTACTAGGTATTAAGCAGTGGTGATTTGCACTGATTTGTTGTGGATGAGGTGTTTCACTATTGTATTTTGTTTGGGATAATTTAGCGCGGTGTAATGTTTGTATCAGAGTTTGTTTAACCATGACAGCTTCAGCCGCTCCCACTGTTAACTCAGTTTAGCCACATGCATGATTTACCACTCACGTCACATTATTTCACTGCTTGTATTGCTCAGGGTACTTTGTCTTTACATTTTAATGTCTACTTCGTCTTCCAGAAGTGTTGTTTCTGGGCATGATAAAAATGGGGGACGGGGGCGTGATTTTGTTTAGTCTGGCTTCAAAGGGGGGATGTGGATTAATGAATGGGGTTAAAAGTAGGCGCGGTCAGTAGGGTGTCCCATTTTTTTTTATTTAGTAAATCCTTGCACTTACATGTCCATGCTTAAAGCAAAAGTTTTTGGGGTTTTTAACGCAATCTTTTTTTATTACAAAATTCAATAGCATGCAAAAGACAGAATAAACATTAGTAAGGATACAGAAAGAAAACACACAAACACGAGCCCGGATTCAACTGTGGCCTAAAAGGGCAACTTAGAGCAAAAGTTAAGGCACAACTTTTTTTTTTTTTTCCGTTTCTGGACAGAGAGCAGTAAAAACCTGATTGAGGTTCCAAATGTAGTCATGTCTCTAGATTTACCTTAAAGATGCCGACATGCCCAAGTTCTCTGCAGTTACTCCAGCCCCCTGAGGAAATCAACACAATGAATGAAAAAAATATTAGACTCTTGAAGATGACCATACTACCCCGGTTGCTCTACCTTTTTCAGACGCTGCCCATTACTGTACCCGCGGGGTTCCTTAAGCAGAGGAGATCTAGCTTCTTGAGGTTTCTGTGGGCGAATAAGCAGGCTCGCTTGCGTCACCAGATCCTTTCCAGGAAAAAATAAACGGGTGGTTTGAGTTTCCCCGACCCTGGGCTGTACTATAAAGCGGCACACCTGTCGGTGGTGCTGGATTGGTGTTGTCATAGTGACCTGAAATTGTGTGTGGGGTTGGAACAAGAGGGATGCCAAATGCCCCTGAGGGGAATACCATGGATAACCCCAGCGCTGCCGCTGCTCTCGTGGTCGAACCCGCTGGTTCGTGCCACGATGGGAGCGGTAGCGAAGACACTCCTCTCCCCGGGTTTCACTCCCCCCACATCTCCCCTGACGCCGGTGGTGGGGAAGCCCAGTTTCCCTCCTGGGATGCCGGGTCCACTGGCGAGAGCCCTGACCTCCTCAGGCAACACCCGAGTGTGTCATTTCCAGGAGTCGGGTCAGTGGAAAGAGGTAGCACAGATCCAGGCCAGTACAGATCCACCCATGCGTTTGTGGGGTGCGCTTCAGCTGTGACATTTCTTATGCTCGTTCTCGGAGGTGCCCGGCCCTATACGGCCACTGACGGAATTCGAGGATCTGTGCCAGCGGGCGGAGCCGCTCAGAAACTCACTGGCATACTTGATGAAGGGTCTGCGCGACCCCCCTGATCAGACCCCTCCGTACTTCATTCATCAGTGGGCCTCGGATCTAGATCTGGACCTCACCCCTGCCCAAGTGGACACCATGCTGTATTTTGCCCAAAAATCTTCGGTCTCCAACAAATACCAGGAGGCTGGGTATAAACTCTTAACCAGATGGTACAGGGTGCCCGCGACCCTCCATGTCATGTACCCAGAGGTGTCCCCAATGTGCTGGCGTTGCGAATCCGCAGAGGGTTCCCTGCTACATGTCTTCTGGGATTGGCCGAAGGTTCAGTCATTTTGGACTGACATTGCAGCTGTGATAACGGAGATCACGGGACATGAGCTGCCCTTCACGCCGTCGGTTTATCTTCTCCACCTGGCACCGCTCTCCCGAAAAGCATATAAACGATCGCTGTTGATCCACCTGCTGAACGCAGCCAGAGCATGCATACCAGTCTTGTGGCGACAAACCCACCCTCCCTCGGTGGACATGTGGGTGCGACGGGTGGAGGAGATTAGACTGATGGAGGATTTAACCGCCAGTATGCGGGAGTCACAGTCCCGATATGTAGCTACCTGGGGGGCCTGGGTAATCTTCAGGGGCTCGGCAGCATTCGCAACAGTGTGTGGTGCAGATGCCGGAGATTGAGGTATAACCGATCTATGCCACCTGCTATGGGACGGGCGTAGACACACTGGGGAGGTGAGACGACCATGGGCCGCCAGGAAGTGGGAATTGTACTACACTCTGCTTTCCCCTTCTCTTAAGTCTTGTCCTCCTTTCGTTTTGTTTGTCAGTGTTTGTCTTTGTCAGGCTTCTTTGTGTGTTTCAGGGGTGATCGTGGTGGACTTGGCCGCCCATATTGTGGGGCTAAGCCTGACCACTCACCTCGACTGTAGTGTTAGTTTTACGTTAATTAACCTAAAAAAATGCCTCAAGGGCGGGGACAAACGTTGGTACCGGACCTGATATTACTATGTGTTACCATGCTTAGATTATGAGTCTCACTGTCTGTTGTTCTAATATTCTGCGGGGCCATGTGGCCTTCGCGTGTACTTCTTTTCAATGTACCCCACCCTTTTTGCCTACAAATAAAGAATAAAAAAAAAAAAAAATATTAGACGCCACAAACTCTGGGCTAAAAAAAAAACTGTATACTCTCGTTATCTGCATTGCATGGCAGCTCCTTGCTCCTCCACAGACCACAGCCAGCAATGGATCTTCTGGGTATGGAGAAACCTGTTCTGATCCCCTGCGATGATATCCGGGCCTAGCAGCCCATCCCTAGATTAGAGTGTGTGATATGCCTAGCACACTTTCCCCAACACAGCCAATCTCAGCACTGTTTGCAGAGGTGAAAGGAGGTGCAAGGGAGCCCAGGTAAGAAAAGTAAAAGGGAGTCAAGGGATGCCCTTTTCAGAAACACTGTCACCTTGCATGGGCATGGTAGACGCCAGCAGATTTGTCCTTTTTTTTAACCAGGAAAACCTTTTCTCTTAAGCATTCAGCAGCCCCACACAAACATATTGCAGTATGTAGATGAATAAATAGTGTATTTTAAGCAGTTGCTTGATGTTCTGGCCTCCAGTTCACAACATCCTCAACTGTCTGAACCAATCAGCACTCCTCTGCTCCAAATCTTCCATGCAGAAGCTGCTGTGAAAGTCACATATAGGACTCTGTGAGCTTAACTTGTTCAAAAAAATAAACAGCTGTATAACACGTAGCTAACTGATTGGTTTACACAATACGAGCTTGTTCATTGATCAAAACTTGTATTTTTCTCCTTGCAGCAAGCCTTCGGGATCAGAGCCTTCACCAAAGACCAGAATCTCCAACCTTCCCCCGGCACATCCAGACCATATAGGAGGCTACAGACTGGCCACTGCTACCTTTGCAGGGATAGAAAACAAGTTTGGTCTCTATCTGCCAAAGTTTAGGCCTCCCGAGGCAGCTTCTCAGGTCAAAACTGCAGCTTCAGTATAATGGAGACCCGGCGGGCTCGGTACATATAGTATTTAACGACGAAGCACAGTTCAGTACCTCTCTGGTCATTTGCATGTGGGTTTATCTGCTGCTCGTCCCATTCTAATATCATTATTTGTTAAGAGACAAATCACCTGTTTGCACAGAAGAGGTGTATCTGCTTCATTCAGCACATAGAATGTATTCTTGTTTCCTAAAGAGAGCATGTGTGTTTTGGGTTTTTTTTTTCTTTTTAATAGACTGCTTTATACAGCTTCGCACTCACTGTTACTGTACATATTGTACATCTGTACAGAGACATCACGGCACATAGGACGTCTTTCTGCAAGGGGTGGAGGAAAATGTACAGAACATATGGGAGGTGTTACCGTGACATTATATAATGTATTATGATTTCAATTTCTCATTTAATCATTTTGATGTATTTTATGGAAATAAAACATTATTGTTTGACTTTGTGGCTTTCTCTCTGTGCAGTGAAAACCCAAAGACTTGTGACTGTTCAGTTAAACAATTTTGACTTGTGTTTATGGATCTTTAAGATGGCTTTACAGTAGCAGGGATTATCACTCAGTAAAAATGTTTTTGGGGGCACTAACCTCCCTCTAAGTGTAGTGGAGAAGACTGTATCAGCAGCCCACAGGGGTACCGGCATCACTAGCAATCAGGCTGGTTGGAATCATTTCAAGATTATTGAATAAAGCCTGGAGCGGTACTCATGGCAGCTAACCAGACTCCATCTTGTACTAGTTTGACTTCAGTGAAGTGAGTTCTGATTGGCTGCAATACACGTATGATTTGTAGCCAGTAAGAGGAGTCATCTCTAAAAATAATTTAACAAGGATTGCAAAAAACTTCCAGCTTGATGGAAATGGGGTATACTGCTGTTTTGGTGTCAGTCCTGAGCCAAGATCATGGAATAGCTGCTTAAATTGAACCTTGCTCATACAAAATACCCTTGTGTGCAGACACCTCCACATGCAAAATTAAAACTTTAAAAAAAAATTCAGAAAAAAAGTACAGGATACCTACCTGGGCTAGGAATTTCACAACACTTTTTATGCCTCATAGTAGAGCTGGATCCAATGTATAAAAGGCTCAGCACATAGTTATAACTCAGTGAATAAGGCATTTGCCAATCATTCACTGTAGGTGAATCAATCACTGTTCTAAAATACATTCACCGTAAAGGTTCACCGGCAGTGAATCTTGCGTTCATTGCTTTATAAATATGCCCACCATTTAGCCTAGGTTCACTCTAGGGCGATCCGTGACCGCACGGCAATCGTGCATGAAACCGGCATCCACACGGTCACATAATCGCACACCACCGCTGATCCTGCTGGCCAGTCAGGCCAGGCAGATAGCGCAGTTTCCTTGCGTGGTACCGCCCGTGCAATTGCGCAAGATCGCAGTTTAGAAAAGCCAGCGGTGCGTGACACAGTACTTGTATCTTTTTTCAGCGATTGCCGCGCGGATATAACCCCATTGAAATGAATCGCTGTGTGCAATCGTGCACGATCACACGGCCCTGGGATTTCCGATATCTGAACCTAGCCTAAATGTTACAAGTCATATGAATATAGTAGGAGGAATCACAGCCAAGCCAACGTTGCTGATAGTAAGGCAATTATGTGCTGCAGGTTTCACTGGTATTAACAGTACAATATGTTAATCATCGGTGTGTAAGCCAAGAGTGATTGAATTGCTGGTAACTGCTGCTGGTTAGCCATTGAAATCTAACAAGGATCATGGGCAACTAGAATGGAAATGACAAAGGCAGGAACACCAAGATTACTTCTTGCTGCAACTGCCAAGAGACTGAAAATGGTGCCAGAAGGGCTCAGTAAAACTATGCCAACAGTTGAAGTGGGCATCATGTGCCAGTGTGATTAGGAATCCTGTTACCAACTAATATTAGTCAATAAGGAACCTTGCTGGTAAGTGCAGATCTGAAATAAGACTATTTGAGGTAAAGACTGTCACTCAGTCTGGCCAAAAGTGACCATTAAATGACTGTCTGTGGTCCACCTATGAACTGTGTGCACACCCTCCTGGGCTGACCAGGCTCTGGGAATAATTGGATCATGTGAGATGGATTTTGTTTTAATAATTCTGTTTTATTCAGAGACGTTACAATGACAACAAAATAAATCACTAATTAAGTACTTAAGCAGCCAAATCAACTTGCATATGCAGTACTCATATAGCAAGCATCAAGAGGTGACACAAAGTAATCACAATGCACAAACATAGTTAACAGCAATTAATATATTTACAATGAAATCTAAATATATTAGAGGACAAACATATAATAAGGCAACTCCTAGGCATCCAGCAAAGGATTGGAAGCGAAAAAGTAGTCTATATCCAGCTGATCTACAAGGGAGCGACGAGGGATGTCCAATAACAATGCAACGATGGGGGCACACGCATAGGTAGGCCAGTTAGGAACAAAAACAGTGGGGAAGTCCTCTGCGGAAAAATGAGGGCATGCTCTAAGATCTAAAGGTTGGGAAGATATAGATTTTTAGAATGACTGCTGATGCCCAGAGACCAGGCTGGCGTTAGAAGTGTCTGTTTACTGCATAGACATTTATTTTGCAGAGAGATATACAGTTATACCTGCCATGAATGTATGTAGGGCAGTCAGATCTTCCAGCCATTGACTTCCGTCTATGGCTACCCATAAGGCACAGTTCTAACAAGTCTTGATAAAACAGAGTTCACTACATGTGAACGTAATGAATGCTGTAGTTGTTTTGTTTGTATCTAAGGGCCTGTGTCGATGGGCATTTGTTTGCGTCAAATGGGTTTTGCATTCCCATACAAGTCAAAAAGCTTTACAATAGAGGTGTGTGAACTATATAACCATCCCTGACAATGTGATCTTTACTCTAGCATTACTATTCCTTTAAACGGCTGAGATGATTCTATCATACATCCAGATGTATGTAAAGGCTTCTACGGCCAAATTATTGAATGGTCATCTGGGCCTCCAACCTACATTTGTAAAGTACGGTAACTAATAACCTTACAAAGACAGAACTAGAGCTGTGGGAGGTTCCCAGCAGGCCCCACCCACTACAGTCTGCCTGTAGACAACTACAGGAAGGGGTGGAGACCGGACCAGTCACCCTGCACAAGGAGAGGGAGCAGCAGTGGCCGTTCTTTATTACAGGAAGTTCCTGCACAAAGAGAAAGTCCCACACTGGATTACTGCACAAAGAAATACACAAAGCTCACCAAGATCCAAGTAAGAATGCACATGATGTCTCTTGTTTTCATCCAATTTTAGTTTTTCCGGGAGTTCAGCTTCAAACGTTGGGACAATATTGTATAGAAGGTGAAGATCAGTAAAACTAGAAACTGTTTTGTGTAGTAGAGGTGACTCATGCAGATTCAGCACAGTGTTTCTTTGGCTGTGCATTTACCAGCTGCAGTGATTTAAACCGGCCCTGCTTGTGGCCCTGGTGCTGGTGGTACTTCACCTCCCCCAGGATCAATAGAGGAGCAAAGAAAATACTTACCTGCTTTTATGGTGAGGGAGATTCTGCAGCATTTCAGCCTGTGAGGGGTCAATCCAGGGATAAGCAACCTTGGCACTCCAGCTGTTGTGGAACTACAAGTCCCATGAGGCATTGCAAGACTCTGACAGCCACAGGGATGACTCCCAGAGACATGATGGGATTTGCAGATTCATCACAGTTGAGCCGCTGAGGTTGCCTACCCCTGTAATAAAGCATCAGAATCAGGACACTGTACTATTTGAAGCTCCTGTTGCTACCCACAAGATCGATAGTCGGCCATTACCCTGTAAAAGGTGCACTTTGCTGAGCCAAAGATGCAGCGACTTTTAGTAACGCACTAAAACGCAGAGATGTCAATGTAGCCTAACGGTATCATTTACAAGCAACGTTCACGGCTGAAGCAAGCTCTATAATACACGATATCATAGTGATATTCTTCATTTAACAAATGAAGGGTTTTTACAAGGCAGTAACAGAGATGTCCATCTATTACATAAGCTCCATTTGCACGAAGACATGTCATGCTGGGTCCTCCAGCTGAAAGTAATTATTTCTGACATATTTAAAATGTAAGAACGCAGAGACCGGCTCTCTGTAAATCCTGGACATTAAAGGAAACCTCCTTCCTTGGCTACAGCAGCCTCAACGTGGCTCGTTCTGTGATTGGCAGGCGGAAGAGGAGTGTGGACACTGCCAGGGTTAACTTTTCAGCTTCCAGTGACCAATTTCATCTAACCGGTGTGATGTTACAAGCATTGTGCTCCACGTCAACACCAGCAACAAATGAATTCTTGCTGGGATGCCAGTACTAGCAGAAGTAATATAATAACTTGTGCCTCTGTAGTGTCTTTCAGTTTCACAGTACATTCTATTTCTGCTTCAGAGAGAATTACTCAGCCGTCTCTGGGCCGCTGTATTGTGAGAGCCCCTTCTGGAAACTGGAGACGGCAATCTGCACATAACAACTTGGCGTTTGCAGATTATTCCGTCTCCCGGGGCTCTGGCTCTCTGACAGCCATTGAACTACAAGTCACAGCAGGTCCAGACACAACAGCTGAAGAGATTGCTGGACATCGGAATCACGTACTGACATTACTTTTTATTGTTTGTGGTCATCCAGCCATGAGTGATCCCCGACGGAACTCATCATTAGGAGAACAATTGAGAGATGGGCAGAGCGTTGTCACCCTATAACAGGAAGTGCCTGAGCAGTCATGGTAGGAACACCAGGATATTATTTGAATGTACCTCCCAACTTTCTGAGATGAGACAGAGGGACGCCTTCCAGTACAATGAATTTAGACAATGGACCCACGGCCACAACCCCAGTTGTAGGGACCATTAAAGTGACACTAAACTGAGGAATTAAATCTGAAAAAATGCATTCAAGTACCCTAACTATTACCAACAATGGATCTTATTTGCAGGGTGCGTCCCAAGGCCGGGTGTCACCTGGAGTGGGTACTGGGTGACACCCCGCCGGGATGAGTCAGGCACATCAGGGGCTGACTGGCAACTTTTAGCCCAGGGAGCAAGTACAACCCAGAGGCCCATGGTGCAGCAACTTGGCCCCCTCTGCCTCTTCCCCCGCCCGTCTGCCACTTTTGCCAACAGTAGTGTGAATGTATTTATCGGTTTAGGAAATGTAAAGCACACTGGTAGTGGAGGGATGCCTCTATAGCTGGTGGTATTCTGCATTTCGCTGTATAAGGGGACTACAAGTCCCAGCAATAGTACATTATACAGCACAATGCAGAATACCACCAGCTATAGAGGACTACAAGTCCCAGCAATAGTACATTATAGCTGGTGTAATTCCGCATTGCACTGTATAATGTATTATTGCTGGGATTTGTAGTCCTCTATACAGCGCAATGCAGAATACCACCAGCTAGAGTACAACAAATCCCAGCAATAGATTAT